TCTCCCCCCACACGCATGCCCCCCATGCACGCACAAATGCACGAACGTCCCCCATGCACACACACACCCATGCATGCACGGACGTACACATGCCCCCTACATACACGCATGGACACATGCACATCCCCCACATGCATGCCCAGATGCACACACACACCCCAAATGCACACACAGACACCTGCCCACCAGCCCCACATGCATGCTAAATCAGTCTGTGGTGCCCAAAAGGATGAGGACCGCTGCACTAGGTGGTAGAAGGACCAGTATTAATCGTGTTTGGCAGGATTAAGTAGCCTACCTAAATCCACATGGACGTTACATATGTGAAGTGCTATTATTAGCCATTTGTCCATATTCATGTTGACATCCAACAGAACCTTGTGTGTGTCTTAAACTATGCTTCAGAAACCTCTGCAGTGTTTACTGAACTAGCAAATTCCAACAGAACCTTGTGTGTGTCTTAAACCTGTGCAGTGTTTACTAAACTAGCAAACTGAACATAACTGTGCTTTTCAGATCATACTAGGAAACACATGCATCAGATATATCAACACCTATAGATATTTAACGCAGTTATTGAATAACATGTTTTCTTTAGCATTTATGTGTCAGATCACACACTGAAAGCATACGTCCCAAATAATATTTTTTATTCCTTGAAACAGATTATTTGATTGTTTAAAACTAAAAGCCAAGGAGGCTTATATGGCATGACACAACCCTTCAGATAGCCTGGACCCAAGCCATATAGAGTGATATAGGTTATAACTGACACTTTGAATTGAGCCAGTAAATAGAATTTGTTGTAACAAGGAAGGTATATGCTCCCTTTAACTAATGCCAGTCATCAGTATTATTGCAACATTTTGTACCACCTGAAGTTTCTGAACACTCTTCAAAGGCAGCCCTACATGTAGCACAGTGTTCCTCAACCTTTTCTGTAGTGCGGACCAGCGGAGCCTCTGAGGGAGGTGGGGCCGCCCCTTGAGCTCACGCATTCCCCTTCCTCCCGCCCCCGCAAGCACTTCCCTCCCCACAGTTGCTTTGCAAAGGAGCTCTGAGGAGGGGAGTGCATGCAGGGGGGGCAGAGGGAGGTCTTTGCAACTTCCTGGCTCTTGCCCACCCCCGCCGCTGCCGCTCCTGGGAAGAGAGCAGCCGGAGCACCCGGCCATGCTATTGCCTCTCGGTTCTTGGCTATCCCACCCCCCTCCTCCGCTGCTGCCGGGAGGAGAGCAGACAGAGCACCCGGCCATGCTCTTGTCTCCCGGTTCTGGCCCACCCCCACCCCCCGACAACAACACTGGTCCGCAAAGGCAGACCTTCCGCCCGCTCCGCACACACTTCCCTCCCCACAGTTGCTTTGCACACGCAGGGCACTTGCATGAAAGGGGGATGGAGCGATCACGCTGGCAAGCACGCCCGCAAAGCAGCTCTGGGGAGGGGAGTGTGTACGGGGGGAGGTCTGTCTTCGCTGCCTTACGGTTCCACCACCCCCTCTGCTGTTGGCTCTTGGCTACCCCCCGCCCCCACTGCTACGAGTGCGTGCAGGGGAGGGGGGCTGGCGGGAGGTCTGTCCTCACGGCCCAGTCAGGGTTAAGTCACGGCGGACCGTCAATGGGCCGCGGACCGGGGGTTGACGACCTCTGATGTAGCACATTATAATAATCCAGGCAGGAAGTAGTACCAGCTTTAACTATGCAAATACACTCCTGGCTACTCCTGAAATGTGTGCCTTAAGATTCAGGGTTAAATCTAGGAATATATCCAAGCTGCAGACCTGAATTTTCAGGGTGGGTGGGTCCAGCCCTGTCTAGTACAGGCTGAATTGCTATTTCCTAGTCAGTCTTTTGACTGCCCAGGAGTATATCTGTCTTGTATAGATTAAGTGTCTGTTTGTTTAACACTATTAACACCAGACATTGATCTAAACCGAGAATGGCTTCCCTAGAACTGGATGGAAATGAGTGAGCAAGTTGGATGTCATCAGCATACGTGTGGCACTAGTCCCCCAAACGCCCTCTACAACATCTCCGAGGGATTTCATTCATAGATTAACTAGTGGATTTGCTGGTGGATTTGCTTTAAATATAATTGATTTAAATTACAATTTAAATTAAATAATCAGTTTTTGACTAATTGACTTTAATCCACCCTGTTAACAGAACTGAACCCATAAGCCAATGGAGCATAGTATAGATTTCCAGCAGGACTACCTTCTGATCTCAACTCTCAAAGAAGGACTGGAACAGCTGTAAAGCAAAACCTCCAAGATTCATCCCACAGAAACAGCCCAGAAAGATACCATAGTACAGTGGTGCCTCGCTTAACAAGCGCACCGTATAACGAAGAATCCGTATAGCGATCCCTTTTTGGGGATCGCTATACGGAGCTGCCCCAATCGCCGCACTCGCTTTGCGACGATGGCCGTGGACGACCCGAAATGCCCCCCCCGCAGCGTTTTCGCGACCTCGGTAAGCAAGGGGAGGGTGCGAAAACACTGACAGGGGGCCATTTCGGGTCATCCGGCGGCCATTTTGGAGCCGCCGAACAGCTGTTTGGCAGCCA